CAAGACAAATCATGAGAACTAGCTGAGGAGAACAAGGTTGGAGGACTATGGGCGAAAAAGCAAGGTGGTGGGACTGTGTGAGAAAATGGGTTTTAACAGAAGCTCTCAAGGAGGAAGAGAAGGAAGTTGAGAGACAAAGGCAGAGAGAATACTCCAGGGCCAGGAGGCAGTATGAACAAAAGTACAAAGCCAGGCTTGAAAAAGGAGGATTTAGGCATAGGAAGAACATGGGAGCTAGGGACATCAGTGCATATGGGCAAAGGGTATGATGACTGATGAGCCTCCACTGTGAAGATGGAGAACTTCAGCCTGCTGTGGAAAGAGAACATTAGTCAAAGATGGTATTGAAAAAGGGAGGGCGATGCAGTTAGTGTTGTATGAAAGACTTGTAACAGCACAATTGCAGACAGCAAAGAAGATTAATTTAACCCAGAACTGTGTTGAGGAGAATGGTTCAACGCCATCGCTGTCCATTCTTCTAAGTTTGTTGGAAGCCTGGAAGAAACATTTTATTGGGACTTAAGACTACACTTGTTTTGTGAGTTTCTTTTCATTGTTGAGATGTACAACCTTCTGCTGTTCAGCTTGTGTAAGGTCAGGATAGTTGCAAGATTTAAAAATAGCATGGTACATTTTATATAGGGTTGTATTAAGGTGTATTTAGGGTACCACCATGTTACAGCACATGTCTATATGACATAGATCAGAGAACACAGAATGCAGCACTTAGTACTACTAATTTTATGTGTTTTATAAAAAGTAGTTTATAAAGACCAGTCTTTCCCTTTGGTGACTACCTTTCCCAGTTATACTTTATAACATGGCAAATGTTGTTATATTGTAGTTGCATCCCAATTATTTTTCATTGACCATTAATACTAAAATTAGCTGCATGGGTTACATGAAACAATGACCATGCAACTGTAGTGTAAATACAGTGTGATTACAGTGACTGCCTTAGGACCAATTAGTTTTTTATTCTTTCTGGTTTTCTGAAAGCAGATTATCATTAGTGACATGAGAATATTATCATCAGCAGTTGGTAAGGCAACAAGCTGTTAGCTTTACATTTTCATTCCTGGGTGGGGCTTCCTTTGTTTTTATTCCATTCAGATCCATGTTTTCATTGGCTGAGGTTCTGAAGGAGGACACTGCCACACAGTCACCTATGTTTTAAATAAAGAATTACTTTTCAAAATCATTTCATTGATGCTATTTTTTAAATTGCCATTTTGGTGCGACAAGCTAAATCCAAGCGTCAGCACACCCTGCTGTAATCTAAGCAATTAATTTAGCCATGCCAGCAGAAATATACCACAATCCTGAAAAAGTAAGATAGTGATGTCCATGCAAATGTTTATAAAAATGAAATGTGACAGATATGTTGACTTCCATGACAAAAATGGAAAAAACAACAGGGATTACTAGGTTCTCTTTCTGGAGTTATTACTGAAAAGAGAAAAAGTTACAGAAAAAGCAAAATCTAGACAGCAACATGATGATCCTGGCTCAGGCAGGGGGTTGGATTAGATGATCTGTGGAGGTCCCTTCCAACCCTACTTCTCTATGATTGTGTGTGGCTGGTACACCCCTGTGAGGAATATTTAAGATATACCAGAAAGATTTTTGCATCCTGGGCAAGGTTGTAGGGAGGCAGGGGTGTGGATTTGTTGTACCAAGCACCTGAGAGCAGTGCAGAGGAGGGGTTGTGGGGGCAAGAATGGGAGGGTCTTACCTTACAGCAGCTGCTGCCAGGGCTATCTCCTTGCATGCTGCCTCACTGAGGCAGGAGGCAGGGTTAGGTCCCTGAATGCTGCTAGGCTGGGGCTAGTGCAAGCTCCCAGCACCTTGCCCATCTGGGGCTGCTATTTTGGCAACCTCACCAAAATGGTGCCCAGGGCTGGTGTGTGTCTCCTCACCGTTCCCAAGTTCCACTATTAGGACACTGAAAGATTGAAACTGGATGTGTCACATCATTAGTTTGCCAACCCCCCCCCCAAAAAAAACAAAAACACAACACAAAGGAAAAAACCCTGCAAAAAACCAACCATCACACCTCCATCTGTGTAAAATCAATTCTTAATCTAATTGCAATGGCACAGTGATAAGGTATATAATTTCCAAAGACAGAGATTCGTGTAAGACAACCTTTATACTTTTCTAGTAAAACTCTGAGTAATGGTACTTGGTATAGTACTTATTCGGAGGCTGTTTCATTAAAAAGTTACTGTAGGAAAGTGAGCAAGCATCTATATTCCCATTTTACACAGGACAAAATCTGGGGACAAAGAACCATCTTCAGTGTTGCACATTGAGGCCAAGTACAGACAGCCAAAAAGCCTGAGGCTAAATTGATTCAATCTTCGCAGGTTAGTCTAAGCTGCGTAGATTGATAAGTAAGTGAACAGACATCCATTTTGATTTTGGAAATGCAGCCACATGCCTGGAGTGCCTCAGGCAAGAAGCTGGGGGGTGGGGAGGGGGAGGTGCTAGAGCATGGCTCCATACTTGGCTGGAGCAGATAGCTTGGACCCTGTGAGGGGGGTTTGTGGGGGAGGTACAAAGCATCCTGGGATGTGGGAGGATTGCGAGTTAACTTGAATCTGGAGGGGATCTGGGACAGAAGTTCAATAAACCAATTTAACCTAAATCAGTTAAGTCTGATACTACATTCATCTAGGTTTATCTTAAACAAGTTTTGGCCATTTTGAAATCAGTTTATGCACACTTAACTTCTGCTGTGTTACAGATCTGAACCAGTTTCTGATCAGTTAAACTGGTTTATTTGCAACTTCTGTTCCTAGCCTGAAAGCTCTTGATGTTATAGGTAGTATCTTATTCTTTACAACATTCTGCCTCCCATTAAAAGGCAAAGGCTTTGTGACTTTCCCCATAGGCGACTGGTGCCACCTTCTTCAGGGGGGCACATGCCCCTCCCAGTGACTGGCAGGAGGTAGCGGGGTGTCCCTTCACAGCCAATCTCCCCGACCAGGAAGCGGCCATGGCATTCCCGGAAGTGGCCATGGTGCTTCATCCAGTGCTCCCACTCCCTGGCTGGTGCTCACAGGGGGGAGCACTGGTGCTTCCACCTGGCCCCCCACCCGTTGCCTAAGTGGGGAGAGCAGCCTGTGAGGGGGTGCACCAGTGCTCTCAGGGGGTGTATGCACACCCCTTATGCACAGGGTGCACATGCACCCCCTATCCGTCACCACTGACTTCCCCAATAGTTTCACTGAATGGGCCAGGTCTGTTTGAAATAAAATGCCTGTCAACATGTGGAAATAACCAGTATCAAGATAAATGTTGCCTTTGTAAATCCAAAAAAGAACCAGACAGTTGATTTTTTAATTGAATAGAGAGCACCAGAATGATGATGGATGTCCTCATCTCTGTCATTACATAGAATTATGTCATTTGCAGAGACTCATCCCAAGGTGGTAACATAAGATAAAGTGGCAGTGACCAGGTTGTGATATCATTCTGGAAAGTCTTAATGGCATTTCCAGAAAATAAGACGATTTAAGATGGCAGTCCACAGATTCAGAAGTAAGTCACGTGGCAGAAAGATCTCTGGTGAGCGAGGACAAACTGAACAGCCTGCCCAGGCTTTCCTGATGAATCTGAATTTCAGACGGCATTTTGAAAAATGTGCAATTCCAACAATTCAACAAGTACTAAACGCACACACAGGAACAAAGACATTCCAGGGATGAAATCTACCTTTAGTCGATGTGCACATTCATACAGAGAGAGACCCTACAAAAATACCATGCATATTTCCTTCCCAGTACAGCCTACAGACATACAAAGCACAGCACTGGCAAACATACAGACATGCCTGCAGAAATACTCTGCATAATCCTCCCCAAGATACTCGAACACACCCACACAGTCCTACTGTGCATATTACCTTCGAGACACACAGACATGACCACACAGACATGCTGTACACATAACTCCCAAACACACTCACAGTTGCCTGGTTCATAGCCCCCCAGAGATATATGGACACACCCACACAGATGTGCTGTGCACATCACCACAGAGATAGAGACATGCGAAAAGACCCCCACAAATGTACTGTGCAAGTCGCCCACAGAGACATGGGCACGCCCATACAGACATCTTGTGCTTATTGGTGGCAAACATAAAGGACACCGCCCTAGGGAAATACTGCGTGAACCCTCCCTGCCCCCCACTACATATGTACGTATTTCCAGAAGTGTTAAATACATCTTCCCCAGCACCCAACCCTTCAGACATGCTGTACATATTCCTTCCAACATACTGATGCTGTTCTGCATCTTGTTCACAAATCTTCCTTCCAAATAGAGACACCCCTTTCTAGGCAAACCGAATATCCCCACTGAATGCAGCTCCTCCTCCAGCACACCCATATAGTCATACAGTGCAAACTTCTCGGCTCCACAGATACAATTCACACAAACACACCTCCACTGAACTATTGTGCCCAACTCCTCCCCATATACAACCCCTATGCTACTCACACACATCCCCATGGGGATACAATGTGTCCAAAAATGACTTCCATACACACTCACAGATATACTGTGCAGCCCCCTCAAACACACAGTCACCCCAAGCACACCGTGCACAACACCTGCAACCACAGGCACACAGACATACACACCTCTGACCATATCCACCGAAACACCCTCTACATGCCTGTATATTTATGTGCCTCAACTACAGGCATGCAGAACCCCTTCTCACACATGCACTCATACACACTTTCTCTCACACTGCCTCTTTTTTGTCTTTGCATAGTTTATTTTATTTCTAAAATGTTTTTCAGTCCCTTCCCCAAAGCTCTGGCTGTCCATTCAATGAATGACAACCCCGCAATACAGACAATAGTATAGTGTCATCTATTGGTCACAGAAGAAATGTGACTGTTGAGTCACAACCAAACAGTGCTACATAGTTCTCCCCCACCTCCTCACCTGACCGTAACTCAACCATCGGACATTGCTAATTACCTTCTTCCAGTTCATCCATGCTCCCAATCTTTCTGGCTCCATCAATGGTGTAGATGTAACGAACTCCCTGAGGCAGGTTAATGTTATCAGACAGGGACCTGGTCAGGTCAGCCAGCAAAGCGTCGAAGCTTCGGAAGCGGTCAGAGGACACAGCATATACAATCCCCTTGAAGTAGCGGTCCCCATTGCGATAGAAACGCACCTTCTTTGCTTTCTTCTCGTTACTCAGTGCCTGTAAGGTCCTGGTTCGGTAGAAGCTACAGTGAGCACTATGAGTGGGGCTAGGCAAGCCATTCATACGTGAGCCTCGCATGTTTCTGGACGCCTTATCTCTTTCGTCAAAGTGTCCAAAATCAAGTTCCATAGTTTGGTGACCCCTAAAGATCTGAAGCTGTGTGGAGGGAAATGAGGAGGAAAGAATATGAACAATATATTAGACTGATCAAAACCCAAATCTGGGAGAAATTACATGCACTCCATGCCTGGGCTTTTGTTTTTTGAGAGCAGAATTGGTTTATTTTAAAAGTGACCTGTATCCTGCTCACCCTGACCTAAATTTGTATTGATTCTCGGGGGTGGGGGAAAGAGGGAGGGATCTTGGGCTTTTTAAAAGGATCCAATTATGGGGGAGGGGATGAATTTTTGAATAGCAGCTTAGACTTTGCACACTAAAGTTCCTTGCCGCTTCCAAGTGCAGTAAAATGAGACTTTGGGCTGGATAGCTGCAGGAAAATGATAAGCAGAACTCCCAAATCCTGTCCAAACAACAACAGTTGGCAATGAATTAAACCCTTGAGCCTTGCAAGATTTCCTTTGGCTGCAGAGAATGAGCAAATCCCTCTGAGCTGGGTTTCAGTCTGTGGAGTCACAGAAGGACCCAATGTGTCTGAATATTTCAAATGAGGACAAAACTGGTATTTCTGAAAGAATGGTCACAGGGGAATAGGCATTTTCTTTGTGACAGGCTGGTCAATAAGGGCTAGCAATCAGATACAGCAGTCCCTCCCCCACTCCCCAGCCCCCCTCCCAGCCCATCAATCAATTTCTGAGACCATCCTACATTTCCAAGAAAAAAAATGTCTAAAAAATCTGTCATTGCTATGAGGGTTTGATGAGCTATGGTCAGTTCACAAATCTGTCCTGGATTCAGTTCTGGTCCTATTTAATCAGGAGGGGAAAAAAAGAAAATAAATGGGGTATTTCTTTTATCTTTCTTTGTCTTTCTTTCTTCCTTTTTTTTTACCTGAACCTTCCCATCCTTAAGGAAGTGATTTCATTGTGGCAACTATCCTTGTGCAAGTATTCACATCATGCCACTGCAAGCACACCTTTCATTGTTCTGAGCTGTGGTGTATTACCGGGAGGGAGAGAAAGAGAGAGACTGGAGCCCGAGAAAGGCAGCCCTCTGGGGAAAATTGCACTGAGCCAGAGATCAAACAAAATGATGGGCGATATTTGTATTTTCTTTAAATGAAACTTAGTACCAAAGAAACAAAAATGCAATAAAACCAAAAGACTCCCCCTAGACTTGCAATACAGAAAACCTTCCAAGGCTGTCACTCCACTGGGCAAAAACTATTTAACATGCACCTCACATACGTTAGCAGTGTGTTCACACCAGACAGAAATGGGATTAAAATCTAGTGGCTCAGCGATCAGCTCCCAATCCTAGAAAAAGCTGTTGCTGTCTTTCCCCACCCATCAGATTTGCCAGAACAGGTCCCATTTTCTGCATTTTACAATGTCACCGTGACCTGTCCAAGATCTCATCATTGTCTCTAACATGCAGCAGAGCAGCGATGGGTAATGCCAGCAATTTTCACATAAATCCCGAGTTGCAAACATTTTCTCTCTCAGTGCCAGTTACGATACATGTGCTTTCATGGCATGCATAATGCAGTGGAATATTCAAGCAACTTTCCAAATGAATGGGAGGTTTTTCCAGGATTTTTTTTGGAAGCTGCAGATACTGTGACACACTTAAAAGAAGGTTTCTTGTTTCCCTGTTGTATCTGACATCTGTTTCTTTCTGCATAGAAGTCACTCATAAACGCTCTACTCACCGGTTTTCAGCTCGCAGGGTGGAGATGCTGAGAGAAAGAAAACCAAGCTCCCTCTGCCTTTGTTGTCTGAGCTCCAAGCAAGAAATTCCTGCCAGGGTGGATGAGACTTCTCCTAGGTCCTAGTGCCTTGTGCGCCCCCTCATCAGAAAACTGCCTCAATGGTTTTTGAGTGACTGATCCTCGATTTAAAATCTCCTTGACTGTGTTGTCACAGAGAAGAACAGCTTCATTCCAGTTCTGCCTGCGTTTATAGCTAAGCAAGAAGAGTTAATGGGGCAGTCTCAAAGTCATTGCTCACTGCTTACTGGAGGCAAAAGTCCCACTGACTTCAGCTGATCTAATCACCCCAGCAGCATCTGGCCCCAGTTTGGTGGGGAGCGGGCAGGGAGTAATTACATGTATGCAGCAGTGTTAAAGGACTGCAGCTGCAGGGGGGGAAGAGCTTTCACAAGTAGCATGCAGCCAGTTTTGACTTGCATGTCCAGCGTATCACAAGAAAGCGAATAAATGTGAGCAGGGAGGCGAAGGGGCCCAGCTCTTTTCTCGTGAACAGCTCATCGAATTCATCGTGGTTTCTGTGGCTGCAGGGGAAAGGAGAATTTGACACTGTGGCTCTGCAGTGCCGCACCTTATCATAATTTTTCTTTGTTAATATTTTTGGGATGGGCCAAGCTTGAACCCTGAGCCCCCTTTTCCTTAAATTTCCCAGGGGCACAGAGTTGAGTAACTGGATCCAAATTTGGCCCAGTAGATTTGATTCTGGGTCAAATCCAACGCTAGAAGAGGATAATTTTCTCATTCCAGCAACAGACATTTCACAACAGCTGATTCTTTATGTTTCTGTCATCGAAGCCAAACATCTGAAAGCCATTCGCATTTTCTGGTTGCTCTTTGGAAGGAGGTGGTGTTCCCTGTGAGATGTACACCGCAAAAAATCCATCATAATTCACACCCCTGTTGCTATTGGTCTCAGTCTGGTCCAGGATAGATTGGGCCATAGAAACAGAATGATCCTGTCACCCCTGAGGAGGTCTTTTGAAACCAAGTGTATTATGGGGGTATAGGAGGTCACTCTGCAGAGTTGGCAACCTGGTACATTGCATCAGTATCTCCTTTGTACGGATACGTTTTATAAAAAGAAAACAACAGAAGTGACACAGATGAAGTCTCTCTGGGTGATATGTATTTCAGTTGCACCTATCCTGAAAGGGCACAGGAAGTGTTTAAACAAATGAATCAAAGGTGCTCTTGTTTGTTTTACTGCAACTTCTGTAAGCTCCACCCTGACACCTAATGGAAAAGGTTATCTCTTAACCCTCCAAACCATCATTTGCCATTTGTGGAAAGTATTCTGATGGGAGATAGCACAGCATCAATGGACAGCTCATGACTTTTTTTTGCATGTAAGCAACGAGAAGATAAAATACAATACAGTGATCACACCTCTGTTACAGGGCACATGGAAAGACCCTTCTTTTGAAATAGATTAAAAATAAAGTAGAATCACTATTGGCTCCAGCATGATCCTATGCACTTGCATTGACAGAGATACAATTTCTCTAGCTGATGATCACAGCACTCATCCCGCCTTGTCCCTCAAACGATTCGAAAGATGCCTGAGGCACTTCCTCTATATTAGTTCCTCTTTCATCCAGCCACTATCAGAGAAAGAAGATAAGTCAGTAGCCCCAGTGTCAGGGATGATGAAGACTCTTTCAAACCAGTTTCTTTTGTCACCCACAATGACATGAATCCAGAGTAACTTTGAATTACTCCATATTACTCCAATGCTAATGAGCACTGAATCCGACACTACACACAGCCGGGGGCAACCAACTGCAATATGTGAAGGAGAGCCATTTCTAGAACACTTTGGGGAATCTGTGGACACGGCCCACATAGATTTGTCATATACTAATGTCAGGGGTCAGCAACCTTTAATTGCAGGCTGCCTCTTGCGACCTCGCACCCCAGCCCTCCCTTCTCTCTACTCGACTTATCCTCGTCATCGCCCACCAGCTATTATCATTTCCCATCTCCGACACCGATGTGGTGCCACAGATGTGGTGGTGTGGGGCATCGCAGGGTGATGGAAGGCACCTCAGCGCAGAGCAGGAAGACCAGACGCAGTGGATGATGTTGGCAAAATGCATTAGAGAAACGCATGACCCAGGACAGAAAAGGTGCTCCCCAGCCCCCACCATGGTGTGCTGAACACCTCACCTTCATGGGCCAGATCCAATCTCTTCACAGGCTGGATCCAGCCCATGAGCTACACAGGTTGCTGATCCTGGCTATGAACACTTCCTTTGGCCCCAGTACAGTTACTCCTGATATAAAGTAGGTTATATTAGTGTCTAAATCACCATGGGCAGGATAAGTGATTGAGAAATCGGGAATACATCTCTTTTCATCCCATCAATAATTTCATTTAGCTGAAAAAGAAGGTTAAATTTAGCCCCCCAGATTAAATTACCTGTTCTAAATTAGGTGAATTGTCTTTACCTAAAGCAGAAAACATTTGGTCCTTTCCCCATGTAATTAAATCTGCCTGGCGAGGCAGTTCAGTCCCTAGTGGCATCTTTATTCCATCTTGGAGTTATCATGATACTTTTTGAAAGCATGGAGAGAGTCTGCCAGTTAAAGGCGATTTGTACCTAACCCCAGTGCACCGAAAACCCTGACTGACATCACTGGCTCTTCCAGCTCCTGCTAAGTGTGTCACAAACCTGCCATGCAGCATCCTTATTCCAGAAACCCTTCCTGATGGTGTGATGCATTTTGCAGTCAGCGTCCAGTGTAAATGATAACTAGCTGAGGTCTGACTGCTCTGGTGAGGATTTTGTGATAGCATAGCTAAAATTCTAGCTGCTAATTTGCTTTCAAGAGAAGTCTTTTCAAAGCAGTGTTGGGTCCTTAGGCACATCTGTTCCATTAATTTTCATTTACAACCCCTTCTACTGCTTTGGAAAAAAAAAATCAATCTTGAGCTCCCCTTTTAACAATGTTTTTTACAAGAATTTCAAGGTCAAGGCTTTCAGAAATGGCAAAGGATTTGGGGAGCTTCAGTTTTTTGGAGTCTAATATAAGACATCTTGAAGGAGCCTGCTCTCCAGGGGTGGGAGTTGTCAGCACTTTGTGACTTTCTAATGAGGCTCGCAATAAACACCCAGAAACAGATCTACAAAGCCAACAGTCATTTTTGAAAGCCTTAACCATATATCACATGTATCAGGAGTCATTAGTGCGACTGGTGCGCGCCTCCAGGAACAGTTCTTATAAAGGTCTATAGAGTAAAGCCTCTCTGCACAACGCTCTGAGCTCATACGTGATCTGGAATTGGCAGGCTTTCACAATATAACATTTGTTTCCTTTTGAGATTTATTTTAATAGGAACCACACACATCTGAATATCATGTAAACCCCCACATTACAGAGCCACGTCATCCTGCCTGCCTGGGAGGGAAGGGAGGAACCATTGTATCACCAATCCTCTAAACCCCGGTAACTCAGGCCATGAGTTCACAAAACTGGAACAACCTGAGGGTAGGAGCGTTCGCTGAAGGGTGGGTTACAGCTAATCTCCTCCCATATTCTTTATAGGAACGGCATCTGGTAAATGAAGCCATGGCCAGGTCAGCTCACTTGGATCCGTTTGTACAAGTGGGCTGGGGGGGGTAGAAGGTGCCTGAAGGGATGTGGGACTTCTCTACAGTTCATCTCAGTCTTCAGCAACTCCCAGAGATCCTCCAAGCTCTCTGGGGATGATTAGGGTGTCTGGCATCTAAACTCCCACAGCACGTTGGGGAAAGAAAGCAAACCTCACTGTCCTCTGATGGAAGAATGGGAACCCCATTGTGAGTTCAAACTCATGCTATCTATAGGTTATTAGCACAGGAAACAATACTTGAAGTGATTTACTAACTCACTCGCTGAAAACAAGCCCATCATTACATCATATCCAAATGTGATTAAAACAAGCAATCTCAGCCCAAAAGAGGAATGCCTCTCCCACTAGACTGTGCTCTGGTCCTTCATTCCCCACTACAGAAGGCAAAGCAGCCACCTTTTCTGAATCCCGGTGATCCTTTCACATGAAAATGAATTCCCTGCACCAAATAAATAAATGTCCCCAAAACTTGGAGGGGCAAAGTATTGAGTTACATAAGCAGAGTTCTAGCAATTTTGCAGTAGCTAAGAGCATTGCATTTCCCTTTAAACCCTGGAAAGGTGGGCTTGCAAAATCACATAAAAGTCTCCATCGCTTTCTTTGGCTCTGCCCCGGGAGACTTGCAGACCCCTGCAGAAATTGTCAGTATGTTTCTAGCTGACCTGCACTCTGTGATATATGATCTGTTAGTCCCAGTCAAGGTCACGATGGATGAATTTCCAGAACAGCCATTTTTCAAGAAATCCAGGTGCCTCTCAGGGGAAATACCAGACCACCAAGATGCTTTTCCTACTGGCTAGGGAAAATCACTTTCCTGGCAGGGGGTAGTACCCTGACCGAGGTAACGCATAGCTAACCTCCCACTTTCACTTCCAGTGGGAAGATCTTGGCTATATGCCATCTTTATGGAAATGGGAGACTCTTCCCTAGCTTGTTCCTGTATCCATGCAGCTGAGGGCAAGTGAAACTTGGGGCCCTCTGAATCCCAAGCCTCCAGGCTTGGGCCTGCACATAGGATACCTGCCAAATGATTTGGAAGCATCTGAAGCCCCAGGTGGAGGATGTTTGCTGGTAGTACGGCCGCATATGGTTCTTGAATGATTCACAGATTTGGAATTGATTTGGCTGCTTTGACTTGGAACACGAAACATTTTCCTTAAAAAAAGAAAAAAAAAATCTCTCCTCCTCTTAGGTTGCCCATTGGCTGCATTGTACAGTGTTGCAAATAACCCTTTGAGCTCAGTGAATAAAAATATATATATCTCCTAAAGCAGTGTATTATTTGAAATTACCAACTGAATACGTGATTACCAGCCGCTCACAAAATGCCTCCTAAACGTAATGTGGATTTGGAAGATTCTGTCCTGGTGAAATATTAAATAATGGAAGGGTAAATCCCATCAAAGCCATCAGAAGGGATCATGTCACACTCGGGTTGAAAATGCAAGATGTTCCCTGTCTAACAACGATCTCTGTCAGCTACCTACTGTCAATAACACTGCCGTGACAATGGCAGCACATACTGTAGGAAGAGGCCTGAACGGTCTCTATTTTAAGCATGAAATCATGATGCTATTTCAGAAACGTCTTTAGTTTTACCGGCGATATATCTCCACTAAATACTTGTCTCTACATCCAGGAAATCCCAAAGAGAGTCTGACAAAGGTTG